AGACACAGAATCCGAAGCAGGCTCCAGACTCTGAGCTGTCAGCACAGAGCCCGACGCAGGGCTCGAGCTCACGGACCACGAGATCATGACCTGAGCCGAAGTCAGACACTTAACAGACTGAGTTACCCAGGTGCCCCTCTTTTTTTTAATGTTTATTTGAGAGAGAGAGAGAGAGAGAGAGAGAGAGCAAGTGCACACGTGCATGAGTGGGGGAGAGGCAGAGGGAGAGAGAGGATCCCAAGAAGGCTCCATGCTGCCAGCACAGAGCCCGAAACAGGGCTCAGTCCCACACGCTGCAAGATCATCATGACCTGAGCTGAAATCAAGAGTTGGATACTCAACCGAATCACCCAGGCGCCCCTGGAGTTAGCTTTTCTATAAGGCAAAAGTCATGTGCAACTTTCTGTCTACAAGTGAATAACTCCAGAGACTGGGTCCTAGTCCAGAGCACATGGTCAGTCATAGGAAGATACATTCCCTGAGACTCAGCAGCCCTTAGGCTGCTGTGTTGAGACCATGCTCTGCTAGGTCTTTGAAAGAGCACTACAGTTATCTTTTGGCCTTATTTCCTTGTTCTGGATAACTTCTTACCATCAGTGAACTTTGAATACGTGGTACCAGCCATTACGGTCATCACTGCATAGGAGTGACCCCTGAGAACCCTTCCAAAGGTCAGGTCCACTGAGCAAATGAATTTATTCTTTCCTTCCAGCGGTACCACTAAGATTCCATTTGTTCTTTTTTTTTTTTTTTTAAATGTTTTATTTATTTCTAGGAGAGAGAGAGAGACAGCATGAGCACGGGAGGGTCAGAGAGAGAGGGAGTCACAGACTCTGAAACAGGCTCCAGGCTCTGGACTGGCAGTCAGCACAGAGCCCGACGCGGGGCTCGAACCCACAAACCGCGAGATCATGACCTAAGCGAAAGTCGGACGCTTAACCGACTAAGCCACCCAGGCGCCCCAGATTCCATTTGTTCTAAAACAACCTTTGTCCCACTATGGGGACCACACTCAATCCAACGAGCTCTCCATATGTCTACTGTGAATGACCTAGTTCCTTCTTAGCTCTCACTTCTTTGTTTACAACTTCCTGGTCATTTCAGAGATGAGGTTGCACACACTGCTAGAAAAATGTGATTAAAAGACAAGAACAGTCAAGAGAGGTCTGTTGGCTCTAATTTGAAAACGAAGTTACTTTACACAAAGGTTCAATTCCTTGGGACTCTATTCCTCAAATTTTACATTTCCTGAGATAAGGGGACATGGGGAAAGCCTGCCTTAACAGTATCTCGGTAGTCCAAAAGTCTGGTTACTTTTGGCCTTTCCCTAACATCAACCATCCCTCGGAGCCTATCGGAAGGATTAAACTTTGGCATTTTCTAACTGCTGCACAGAAGTCTCTATTTACTGCACAGCAGAAGGGAGAGGTGGGGAGTGAATTCTCTAGGTGGGACATCTGAAGCCTATCAGTTCCCTCTGCCTTTTGCAAGGTGTCCCTCAGGCTCTGGGTTGTAGAAGGGATGATTTCTTTCCACCGTTCAAGGAGTGCCCACTGTCTTGGACCCTGACCTGGATCTTAGGGTCAAAAAAGAAAAACATTTCGCTCCTGACTACCATGGGCCATTTGTCCCAGAAACACAAGAGCAAGTAAAGCCACCCCACACCCACTAGATTTGATGGCCACTGTTAAAAGGCCTGTCTTCAAAGGTTCATGATTTTGGGGATGCCTGAGTGGCTCAATTGATTGAGCATCCGACCTGATTTTGGCTCAGGTCATGATCCTGGGATCCAGGGATCAAGCCCTGTGTTGGGCTCCATGCTGAGCAAGCATGGAGCCTGCTTGGGATTCTCAATCTCTCTCTCTCTGCTCCCCTCCCCTGCCCGTGCTCTCTCTCTAAAAAACAAAAAACAAAGGTTTGCAATTTTCAAAGTATTTTAATTCAGTTCCACCCAATCCATGTTTCTCATCAACCTAGAAGGTCCATACTGGGCATCTGATAAGTGAGCCTGTGCTTGGCATTTGATCTGATATTTATGCACAGAGAATGTGAAACAACACCAAACAGCCCACATAAATCAGGTTACACAAACATCGCACTAAATTGGCCTGTTGGGATGGGAAGATGGGGAAGTGAATGGTTCAGGGAATAGTACTTTCAAATTCCATGTTCTTGATTCCAGGTACAATGGCGACGTGAACTAATAATACAGCCAAGCTCTCCTGCTTTCAGTGAATGGATGGTAAGAAATGCTTGCAAAACCACAAATAAAAATTAGATAGTGGTGATGGGTGCGCAACTTTGTGAATAAAGATGGAGTTGTATAAAAGGGGTATATTTTTATAGTATGTGAATGATATGTTGATAGTTTATTTTTTAATAAAAATCACACCCAGAACTAGGATCCCCCATGGAGGTTCTGGCCCTTCTCGGCTACAAGCACCTGCTCCAACAAAAACACGTCTGCTGCTCACAGGGGCAGAAGAACCTGTCAACTACTGTGAGCATACTGAACCTGAGGTCCTGGAGTCAACCCCAGATCTGCCAAATTCCAGCCGTGTGTCCTCAAGGAAGCAACCCTCTCCTACCTACCTCATCACCTGGTAAAGTCTTAGGACCACCCTGCATACAGCAGAACTGAGGCCATGTTGACTTTTTTTTTTTAATTTTTTTTAATGTTTTTTATTTATTTCTAGGAGAGAGAGAGAGAGACAGCATGAGCAGGGGAGGGTCAGAGAGAGAGGGAGTCACAGACTGAAAAAGGCTCCAGGCTCTGAGCTGGCAGTCAGCACAGAGCCCGACGCGGGGCTCGAACCCACGAACCGCGAGATCATGACCTAAGCGAAAGGCGGACGCTTAACCGACTACGCCACCCAGGCGCCCCGAGGCCAGGTTGACTCTTAAGGTCCATTCCTGCAGAAGCTTAAACCATGGCAGGTAGAGGACACTGCTTCTCGCCTCTTGAGATCTTGGCACATCCGGGGAGGTGGGGTGGGGGGGGGGAGGCGGGGCGGGGATCAGTTCAAGATCTTTAGAGGTTCGTACCAAGCCTTGTGTCTAAATTTTCCCTGAATTAAACTTTGAACCAAAAACGGTACTCACACCTTGGACCCTGCTCATTATAATTCCCTCATGATCTGAGCCCTTATTCACATCCCATCAGAGATGCTAAATTCACTTGACCCTCAGGAGACATTAAAGCACATGCTAGCTCTCTACAGGATGTAACAATCCACCCCAATTCCATCATACACTACATCCTTATGTCTCGGGTATATCGCTGATTTCTATTTTCTATTCCAAATTCTATTTATCAGACTACACTGTTTTAGTAATGGACGCTTTATCACATATTTAGCTATTTGTTCAGGGAAATTCTCCATTTTTTTAAAAGCTCACTTTGTAACTTTCTTAGCTTTGTGTTTACTTTGTTACTTGTGCTATATAATTATATTTACAAGTTGCAAAACAGAAATTCCACCGACTGGGACCGCACCAACATGAGGGCCGCCTACTAGATCTACTTCACACACAGGTTTTCCCATCCAGGGACACGACGTGTCTTTCCATTTACATCTAATGTCCCCTGATCAAGTTTTAGATTCTGCTTGTTGTTTCTACAAATTATCTGGGGTTTGAGGGGGTCAATTTTCTGTTTATTGTTAATGTGTAAGGAAACTACTGATTTTTCTTCAGTAGTTGGCTCACCTGTGAAAATATTCTAAGAGTTTTTCACTTGTTTCTTTTTGCCTCCCCCCCGCCAAAGACTATCTGTAAGGCCCCTCTTTTCTATTGCTAAAAGTTCTCATGCTATTTTTTTTTTTTTACATAATTGTGTTTCTTGAACAATACTCAAGAGCGGAGATGGAGGTCACTCTGTTGTGCCCCAAAGTAAGAGGTAATGGGCCCCCAATGCACCTCTAGAAACAAAACAGTTCTTTACACTGGCTTTCCAAATTTAGTTTACAAAGCATATGACTAACAGAAAACCTATACATACAAAGAAAAATTTAGAATGTTCAGAAAATAAAAATTCCTCTTAAGAGTGCCTGGCAACCACTGTGATCCTGTGGCCAGAGCTCACGCTGACAGAAGCTACTTGTAATGCTACTGGCAGAGACCAGCATAGGGAGAGTTAGGACGGCCGCTCCTGTGCACTCAACAGTGGCTCTGTCAGCGGAGCTGACAGGATGGCTGTGCTGACTGCATCCCTGGCTTCAGAGCTGGCAGCTCAGAAAGTCACCACAAGGGCTGCGACATTCCCATTCCAACATGCCTTTCTGGCTCCTGGTCTTGGCGGGCATTGTCTCCCAGGCTGTAGACAAAACGTGAATTAGATACCCCCCCCCCACCAAAAAAAAAGCTGGTCTGGTTTTAGCCTACTGGAAAATAAAGGTCACCATACCCATCACAATTCTGTTTAAATGCCAGCTTGCTATGCGGAATGTTTTTGTAGATTACACTAAGCTGGCCGCATGTCAGCTAGCTAGAAATCCCTCTTATCCGTGATATGAAAGTACAGCAATTTTACTGTCCTTCTAAGTGCATCATTTCCTAGGAACAGCTCATCACTTAAGATTATTTCCACAGGTGGCTGTGCTTCCAACTGACAAGAGAGACATTTTAGTAAGTTTGACAGGGAAAGGACACCCATACAGGATTTTTGGTTTTTCTCCACACAGGTTCCAGAAAATCGGATTTGGGTTCCGCTCACTTCTTCATTGAGCCTACAGAAACAAACAAAACACTGGCAAGCCATCAGACTCTTCAATGAAAATGTATTTCACATTAAACACAATGTACACATCATGCACGTGAGGCATCACCACAATCACAATGGTGCTGTGAGGTATAACAGGTCACAACAAAACAAACATTGAACAAAATAAAAGTGTAAGAAAGATGGTGAGGCATTTTTTCAAAGGCAGATCACGCTATCATTTTCTGTGTGCTTGTCGTAAAAGGGATTTCCCCCGATATTCAAGATCAATGGCACGGCATTATTGGAGGCATGTATTTTATTTAATATATACACATACACAAACATACACAGTTTCCATAACTAATAAAGTCTTAAACTGTAGCTGGTTTTAAAAGCACATGAACAAGATTACTATTGAGACTTCTTTTTGTCTCCTGGTTGCAAACCTCAGTCAGAATTACGGATCTTTTCCAAACTCTTTGTTGTATAAGAGCTTCAGAGAAGCTTTCAAACAAAAGAAAAGTTTCAAAGAAGGTCATTTTAATCTGAAAGTCACATTTCACCACAAGAAACGAAATTAAGAAAACACATTATATGGCATAAAACACGTGAAGTATACATTCTAGCGTCTTTTGTCCCTTGTTCAAATATTTTTATGTTGAAGTCTGTTAAAGTGACATGTTGGGTACAGTTCAGGGGCCCCTTGTTCCAGAGCACGATCACTTTCATCTGTGCCTGGTTTCATTAGAGTTGAGCAAACACAGGAGCAAACAAACAAGGGCCCCAAGATCCAAGAGAAAAATAATAGCAACAACATGAAAACCCACCACCTGTGCATGAGACACGCGATTCATTCAAACTTCCTTCAGTCCAAAAGCCACTCGATGGCTTGGAGATTTTAAGGGGCAACAATGACGAGATCCTTGCCAGATTCAGGTGCCCAAGTCTATAAGAAAATGCATACGTGAACAGAAATCATTCCACATTGCTTAATAGTTTTCTTAATCAACCAGACAATATTGTTGTTAGCCCCCAAGGGGTACTATGGGGCAGTGCATTTTGCAGGTGGCTAAGCTTAATAATAAACAACAGCTTGATAGTAACTTCCAACAAAGAAACCACAGAAAAGGGGGAAAACCCTCTGGAATTTCTTCTTCTAAACACAGACAGGGAGGTAAGCAGCCCAAGTTCAGTGTATGTTTAAGTAGAGTCTAGGTCAATGTCTAGAATATTTACAGGAAAAGACATCTAAATGTTTATGCACTCCAACTTTGGGAATAAGAATGGTTATAAGGTGAATTTCCAACACAGAATCACCTGGGTTATTCAGAGGATCACTATGATAATAAAGTAGTATAGGAAGCACTTTATCAGCAGCTGAAGCTCATAAATAGAACTGTAACATGAAACTTTGCTAAAGCCCAATATGGCCAAAGTTTCAAGGTTTCTACCAAGAGTGGCCAGTGATTGACATACTAACTAGGTAGGGATACAGTTACATTTTAATCTAATAATTTGGAATCCAGCGATTTAGGACAACAGAAGCTTCTTCAGAGGACCGGCAGCTTGGATTTGACTACCAGCAGCTTCACAGGTTCTCCAAACACCACCTGTGTCAATCCAAAAACAAAACCAGATGAGATGAAAGAAGAGACTGCATTGTACCTATTCTCTCTCACTAAAGTGATCACTGTCTGGAACTTTCCACCTTCTTGATAATTATATTCTCCTTGGCTCATAGCAACATCTTTCAATGGAAGAGCTACAGCATTTTGGGTAGGACTATATTTGGGTGGCCAATTTTTCTTCGTGTGGGACCATCCTATAACCTGCAGGATGCTGAATGTCCCAAGCTCTGCGTTCCAAATGGTACTGCTGCCCCTAGCCACCATGACAACAAAAGCCAACACATTTTAAGATTTCAGTGCAGAACTTACTTTAAGAAGCCAAATGCAGTCGTAACAAACAACTAACAAAACACATGCTTATTTATGTTTGTTTAAATCCCACTCTTGATTTTAAGCTTTTAATTCAGTTAACATATAGTGTTATATTAGTTTCAAGTGTACAACATAGTGATTCAACAGTTCCATACATCACCAGGTGCTCATCAGAACAAGTGCACTCCTTAATCCCCATACCCTGTTTCCCCCATCCCCCCACCCCTTTCCTCTCTGGTAACCGTCAGTTTATTCTCTATAGTTCAGAGCCTGTTCCTTGCTTTGCCCCCCTTTTTTTCCCTCTGTTCATTTGTTTTGTTTCTTGAATTCCACATGTGAATGACACCATTGGTATTTGTCTTCTTCTGAGTTATTTCACTTAGCATAATACTGACACAGTTTGTTCTAAATGTTACCCGTCATACATTCCCTTTTATGTGTCAACAGGCCACAAGCCCTTTCCGAAAAACCAAGAGAAGTGAACTTTTTTTAAAAAATAGTTTATTGTCAACTTGGTTTCCATGTAACACCCAGTGCTCATCCCCACAAGGGCCCTCCTCCGTGCCCATCACCCCCCTTCCCCTCTCCCCCATACCCATCAGTCCTCAGTTTGTTCTCAACATTCAAGAGTCTCTCTTGGTTTACCTCCCTCCCTCTCCCTCCTACTTCCCCCCTTCTTCTCCCCCACGGTCCTCTCTTAAGTTCCTCCTAATCCTCCTATACGTGCAAACGTATGGAAGCTGTCCTCCTCTGCCTGACTTATTTTGCTCATCAAGATGAAAAGCTTCTGCACGGCAAAGGAAACAATCCATAAAACTTATAGGCAACTGACGGAATGGGAAAGGATAGTAGCAAATGACATATCAAATAAAGGGTTATTATACAAAATCTATAAGGAACTCACCAAACTCCACATCCGAAAAACAAACAACCCAGTAAAAAAATGGGCAGAAGACATGAACAGACACTTCTCCAAAGAGGACATCCAGATGGCCAACAGACACATGAAACGATGCTCAGCATCCCTCCTCATCAGGGAAATACAAATCAAAACCACACTGAGATACCACCTCACGCCAGAGTGGCTAAAATGAGCAAATCAGAGAACTCTAGATGTTGGCGAGGATGTGGAGAAACGGGCACCCTCCTACACTGTTGGTGGGAATGTAAACTGGTACAGCCCCTCTGGAAAACAGTGTGGAGGTTCCTCAGGAAACTAACAATAGAACTCCCTTATGACCCAGCAATAGCACTGCTAGGAATTTACCCAAGGGATACAGAAATGCTGAGGCATAGGAGCACATGTACCCCAATGTTCATAGCAGCACTCTCCACAATAACTAAAACATGGAAAGAGCCTAAGTGTCCATCAACAGATGAATGGATCAAGAAGATGTGGTTTATCTATACCATGGAATACTACATGGCAATGAGAAACAATGAAATCTGGCCATGTGTAGCAACATGGATGGACCTTGAGGGTGTTATGCTGAGCGAAATAAGTCAGGCAGAGAAGGACAAATATCATATGTTTGCACGTATAGGAGGATTAGGAGGAACTTGACGGAGGAACAAAGGGGAGAAGAAGGGCAGAAATGGTGGGGGAAAGGGAGAGAGGCAAACCATGAGAGACTCTTGAATGCTGACAAAAACTGAGGACTGATGGATGTGGGGGGGAGGGGGGATGGGCATGGAGGAGGGCACTTTGGGGATGAGCACTGAGTGTTATGTAGAAACTAATTTGAGAATAAACTATTTGTAAAAAATAAATAAATAAATAAATAAATAAATAAAAAATAAAAAAAATGGGCAGAAGATACGAACAGACACTTCTCCAAAGAGGACATCCAGATAGCCAACAGACACATGAAACGATGCTCAGTATCCCTCCTCATCAGGGAAATCAAAACCACACTGAGATACCACCTCACCCCGGTCAGAGTGGCTAAAATGAGCAAATCAGAGGACTCTAGATGCTGGCGAGGATGTGGAGAAACGGGCACCCTCCTACACTGATGGTGGGAATGTAAACGGGTGCACCCCTCTGGAAAACAGTGTGGCGGTTCCTCAAAAAATTAATAATAGAACTCCCCTAGGACCCAGCAATAGCAGTGCTAGGAATTTACCCAAGGGATCCAGGAGTGTTGATGCATAGGGGCACATGTACCCCAATGTTCATAGCAGCACTCTCAACAATAGCCAAAACATGGAAAGAGCCTAAGTGTCCATCAACGGACGAATGGACCAAGAAGATGTGGTTTATCTATACGATGGAATACTACATGGCAATGAGAAAGAATGAAATCTGGCCATGTGTAGCAACATGGATGGAACTTGAGAATGCACTATCTACAGCTGATAGCTGAGCAAAGGAAGATATATATAAAACATAGCGACCTTGGCCATGTGCCTTCTCCAATCTGTTTCCTCATTTGATTTTATTTATTTAAGTAATCTCTGTACCCAATGTGGGGCTTGACCTCATGACTCCAAGATCAAGAGTCACATGCTCCTCCAACTGAGCCACCCAGGTGCCCCAAAATAGGCTTTATTTTTTTTTTTTAGTAGGCTCTATGTGCAAGGTGAGGCTTGAACTCACAACACCATGATCAACAGTTGTGTGCTCTCCTGACTGAGCCAGCCAGTCAGCCTGTTTTTCTTCATTTGAGAAACAAAGATTGGACTAAGTCTTATCAGGCATGGAAGCTGTGTTATAGGAGTGGAGCATCATAAGAAATGAAATGAGAGAATGTTGAAAATATAAAAATGTTTTTAAGAGTCTAAAGTGGGATGACAATTGGAATTAAGTTATGAAAGGATTTGATGATAGATTCTAATTATGTTTTCATAATTCAAAAACAAGCCCCAAACTGAAGTCCAACATGAGGTTTGTATAACTAAATCACACAAATGCAGTGTGTTTATAACCCACTTTGGCAAAAAAAAAGGCCAAAAGTGGGGAACAAAAACTTCAGGACACAAACTTCAGCCCTCCATCTCCCCACTCCTCCAGTGTGATCCAAGAACAGATGTCTGCTTAAAGGATTCCAGAATGGGACAAGAGAATAGCAAATCATTTGACTCAATGCTCATTGCTGTATATGAATGACTGTAGATAGAATGTGGAATGTCATCAAGTAAAACTAGGGGAGAAATTCATTTTATTAATACCACCTTGCACCACTATTACAGCAGTATTCTCTCTGCCTTTAAAAATGGTGCTACTAGAGATAGATGGCTGGTCAAGCTTGTAGCAGTGATTTTCAACACACACACACATCCACACACCCCCGACAGTAGGGCAGGCATGGCGGGGTGTGGCAATGAAGGCTCTCATACAAAGGATTTACTTGACATTCACCTCAATTACTGTGTGTGCATTGTAGTATATACCATATACAGGTTTCCTCCCATCTGAAAGAATGTTCCTATGAAACCTTTTGTAAGCAGAAATGCCACGAGATGAAGAAGCAATTAACAGTAACTTATATGGAGAAAATTTTGACTGTTCCCAGACCCCCAAAATAACCTCTTAGGCTTTTTCTTGTACCTTAGGACACATCTTGCTGATGGATGTGCAAAATAAAATGAGATAAAGCACCGATGCTCTCAGACACAGTGCAAAGCTATGGGCGCTGAAGGCTGAGTGCAGTTCTCAGGAAGGAATCTGAGAGAGCCACTGTCCCCGCTCAGAGTGCATGCTGCCTATAGACATCTTGCTCCGAGATAAACGCTGAATGCTATTTTTGCATTTTGTCTTTTACTGTAAAGTGAAAACCCTCTTTGCATTACTTTCAGTTAATGTAAACAGGTAGTAATGCAGGTCTTTCATAAACTACATTTGGCATAACGTGAAGCTTTGAAAAATGAGTGATACCTGTATTCACATTCGCATTTGTATTTTTCAAATAAAACTGACCACGCAGGAGACTGAGTGATGTTTATCCCATCTTTACAAACCCCAGTTGGCGAAGTATAAATTTAGACTCTAATCAAAGTAGTGTACTGTACCTTTCATTAAAGAGATGTATTTGTCAACAGAAGGTGTTCAGAGTATTTTCTTGGCCAGGACTGTTAAATCCTTCAATCAAGTTTTTGTTACAGTCATCCAGACTGAGATTTTCACTGGATCGCTTGGGGTACATGGGTGGGCCGGTGAAATCTAAGAGATCTTGAAGTGCTCGGGCATTACCAGTTCCATTTTGGTCCAGAGACATCCCAGGAATCATTTCACTTACAGGTGAAAATTCTGGGATGGAGATAAGCTCTTCCTTTGAAACAGGACTGAGATGGGGGGAAGGGAGGGGACAGTAAAGGAGGAAGGCAAAGAAAAATGTGACAATTAATTCTATTTATATATTCTGTTATATACTACTTTTCGAGAGAAGATCGATTTAGAGCCAAGGCTGGTGTGAAACACACTGTAAAAAAAAAAAACAAGTCAGTTCAAATCTGAGACATTGAGAGATAGATGCCCCCCCCCCCGCCCCACCTCCCCGCCAAGGGAAAACAAGGGAAGCGGACTGAGCAGGACGGTGAAGGCCAAGTTCACACTGCCTACAGGAAGAAAGAAAATAAAAATTACAGGCACCAGCACTCTACTGCAGAGAAGTCAACCACTTCCAAAACCTTCAAAATGGGAAACCCAAACAGAAAGCAAATGCTAGAAGTTAAAACTGAGCCGAGGAAGGGCCCTAATCAGCACCGAGGCTTCTGGGTGCTGCTTCTCTTTAAGCAGTGCCACCTTGGTCGAGCTGTTTTTTCTCTTCGGCAGCCACAGTTTCTTCTGCTGTACGAGATGAACAATCATTTCTCCCTACCAGGGCTCCTGTGAGCATGGCGTGATCATACTGAGGGAGTCCTTGCAGCCTGTAGTAAATGTTCAGTTTAGGTGGGGGCCATTGTTAACAAGGACCCTGCCATCCACCCAATCACCTGCAGAGCAAGTCTCTCCCGTGCTTCCTCTCTAAAGTGAGGCCTCACTCCACCCTGACTTATCTAGCTCCTATCCAGTGTGTGTGGCTCTGTCTGTCTTCAATCTAGAGATGGAAGAAGGAGTTTCATAGCCGTGTCAACCAAAGGCCCAGCTCAGATGAGGTGGGTTGGGATGTGAGGTCCTGACACTGGGAGTCTTTCTTAATAACCAGAGTAAGGTTGCTGCCAAGTTCATCTGTTCTTTTCTTCCTTGATAAGATCTGAGAGAAGAATCTACAAAACCCAGTTGAACTGAAAAAACTGAGAAAATCCATTTCCCTCACACTCAGCTGAGTGTGAAGAGGCAGTAGAAGATCTAACACCATGTGTGGTGGCTGGAGCCTGGACAAACTGCCCCGTTAGCAGAAGCACCCACCCTATTTCCACTTTGCCTCACCTCCATTCCCTGGGCTTATTAAACAGCTGGTCAGATGGTGAGGAGGAGAAAATGCTACAAGCTTGGATGCAACCTCCAGGAGTCACCTGTCTCTAAATGCAGGGGTGGCCACAGGAGAATGTGGAATATACTCTGAGCCCCTTCACTTTTTGAACCCTGCCTGATGCTGTGTCTTATCCTCTTCCCCCCACACAGAGACACAATGAGTAAGCAGAGATAGGCTCAACATGGGGTCGGGGGAGAGATGGTGTGTTCATGTTTAGGATGCCTCTGCTGTTTCATCCTAGGGCGTGAGGAGATAGACAGCGATGGAGACCAGGGTTGTCTCCATAGAATTTGCTCTACTGGTGATGGGGTGCTGGACCCTGGGTTTTCACATAACTGGCTCAAGGCCACAGTGCACAAGTTGGGACATTTACAATCACTGTGCCCTAGGAAAGACTCTCCTCCCCAGACCCCACTCCCACAGATAAAGCTGAGAATCCACAGCCAAGGAGAGAAGGTTAAGCTCTGGCCACCTGGAGCTCTGACAGAACTTTCCAAACACTGTCATTGCCTGCTGACTCAGACAGCTGCCCCCACTCCAACTGCCCTGCCCAAGGCTCTCTGTTTCAGTGTCTCTGCCCCAACCATATGCTAACTGAATTCACCTTTTGTCTGGGATCAATTTGCCAGGTGAATTCCTTAAGATTTTAGTATCTGAAAGCAGATTAGATATTTTATCAAGTCTCCAGTGACAAGTCTACTTAAACATAAGACACCAGACACAGTGAGTCCTGGTGATGCCCCACTCGGATCCCCTTTATGTGTAGGCGCATCCATCTGCCAGCTGCCCAGACAGCCGGCTGCTAATAGCCCATAGCTGCCACACTTTCTCTGGATAGCAGCCTCTGGCTGACAGGAATCCTATGACCGCAGAAGTTATATCTGCAGTTCCCACCTTGGGTGACCACACTCAACTGCTGATGGTAGAGTGGCCCGAAGGCTGCCTCCCTGAATCAGATCACTCTCTGGCAGAAATTCATCCTCCAGAGCTCCCATAGGATCAGCTGAAACAGAGTCCTTGCTTAGTGATTTCCCCTGCCCCATCCTCCATCCCACCCTCCACTTGCTTGTGAGAGCTCTTTCCCGATAAGTCCCGTGCCTCAGAATACCTGTCTCAGGCTCTACTTCTAAAGAACCTGACCCACGACACTAATATACCACTGACAGCTTTCCTAAATGGTAATCAAACCTACTTTAGGTGATTTAGGTTTGTAAAAGATGAAAAAAAAATCAACAGAGGCAGTGGAGTTGTTTGGAGAAGAGATGAGGTTCACAGGCAAAATAAATCAGCTTACCTCACATCCATAGACTGAACTTCTTCAGTTGAGTCATCCAGACTGTTCGATTTCCCATCAAGGGTGTCCAGATGAACAAGTCCTCCAACTGGTTTAAGCCCATTAGAGAAAATGTCTCGAGGAAAAGTTTCTGGGGCAGTACGCCCCACACCATTAACTTCCTGGCAGGTGTTCAGCCCATTTATTTCTGATTGAGAACACAAAGTCATTCTGTTAATCATAAAATACCAGAACAATGAAATAACAGGAGAAATATATATTGAGGCAACTCATTTAATCCTCTGCTTTGTCAACAGTGCAACATCCTCTTGCAAAAAGAACCCCATGTCAACAGCTTCACACAGAGAAAAGAAGACAAATGACATCGTCGGTGTCCGTGCAGGGCTCATGACCCACCCAGGAGGCTTGGTGTCATATACTGTGCAGGTTCCCAGGCTCTGTGTAGCATTTTCTTGAGCATCAAGGCAAAGGAGAAATGTAGAATGCCTTTGAGATGGACAGGTCTTTCTGACTTTGGCTGCCATGATATACTCACATCTAAAGGAGGGGTTTTCTTTGAGAAACAGAGAGACAGAGAGAAAGAGAGACAGAGAGACACACAGAGAGAATGAATCCCAAGCAAGCTCCACACTCAGTACAGAGCATGATGTGGGGCTTGACCCCACAACACTGGGATCATGACTTGAGCCTGAATCAAGAATTGGTCAGTCAACCAACGGAGCCACCCAGGCGCCCCTCACATCTAAGGAGTTTTAAGTATACACGAAAGAGAAGAGCTGGACCAGCCAGAAGTCTGGAAGACAGGAGAAACCACTGTAGAATAGCAAAGTTGGTTCTGAATAGAACCTGACCAGCTGTTAAGCTCCCTGGAAAGGAGCATGGGACAGCAGGTGGCTGGCTTCCTGTGCTGGGACTATTAGAATAACCGAGGACCCCAGAGCTTTCTGAATGGACCTGACAGACCTGTACTGGAGATGGGGACTCCCCCAAGAGGAAAACTACACAAGCCCTTACAGGAATAATGCTCTTAAGACTCATGGGTGCTCATCCCTGCAGGAAGTGCTTTGAGACCTCACCTGCTGAAAGGAAGAACCCAAAGACCAATCCTCACACTCACCTATTTTGTTCGGGACAACTGGTTTTGTCTTATTTTCCACACACACAGGCAACTGAAGCTCTACTTTTGGGTCTTCTTTCTGAAAACAAACAGAGGGAAGGATGACTTTACATAGAAAAACAAGTGCTTTTGAAAAGCATCAAAGGGGGCCAGGCGCGTCTGACTTCGGCTCAGGTCATGGTCTCATGGTTCGTGGGTTCGAGTCCTGCGTCGGGCTCTGTGCTGACAGCCAGCTCAGAGCCTGGAGTCCGTTTCAGATTCTGTGTCTCCCTCTCTCTCTGACCCTCCCGTGCTCACGCTGTCTCTCTCTCAGAAATAAATAAAACATTTTAAAAAGTTTTTAATTTAAAAAAGAAAAGCATCAAAGGATATTTGGAACTTAGCTGAACCATCTGCCTATTCCATGGTTTTGAATCTTCTGAGCTTATTACAAATCAGCTGTGTTTCCCTTATCAATATGTCACCATTTTCTTTTTTATTCATGGACTACTGTGTCTCCTTCTGCATCTACACCCCCACTTCTCAGAGCAAATTTTTTATTACTACCCTGTCTCTGAAACTCCTCTCTTAGACTCCTCTTTCTATCCAGTATATGTGCTGCCACAGTGAGCACCCCTCTTTCCATCCAAGTACCTATAGCCTCCTTAGTCCAGCCAGGAACAAAGCAAGAAGACTTCAATTTTTTCTGGCTATTCCTCTCCAAGACCTACAATTCCACTGAACATACTGTGCCATTCTTTTCTCTTCAGTCCATAAATTATCAAAATGGTGCTGTGAACACCTACCTTCACTTCTGGAGACACATCAGTCTTCCTTGTTCTCTTCATGATTTCATCTATTCTCTGGAAACCAAAAAGAACCAGGTAAGAGGACTTCAATACCAAATAAACATAAAAGCAGCTGGGTCTATATGCAATTTTACATGTCTCAGAAAACTCCTAAGAGAGACATGTCAGCAGAGGATAATGAGTACAGAAAGGTTTTCCATTGGTTTTGCAGATATACACCTCTGCCCTATGAACAAGGTCAAATGCTTGAAAAGTAAACTAGTATCTGGAATCAACATTCAGTTTATATACCTAATCTTTTCCCTTCCTCTCCTTAGATTACCTAAAAACAACAAATCACCACCTGCCATTATTTTTTTAAAATAATCTTTTATTTATTTCTGAGAGAGAGACAGTGTGAGCAGGGGAGGGTCCAAGAGAGAGGGAGGTACAGAATCTGAAACAGGCTCCAGGCTCTGAGCTAGCTGTAAGCACAGAGCCCAACACGGGGCTCGAACCCATGAACTGTGAGATCATGACCTGAGCCGAGGTGGGACACTCAACCAACTGAGCCCACCCAGGCGCTCCACCACCTGCCATTCTAGATAGAGGGCCACCCTAGAGAAAGTGAGGCTGAGGTGCAGTCGGGAGGGGAGGCCAGAAACTGGTCTCCTAGCTCCCATGCCTAATTCAGTACAAAGCTTAGGCTGGATCTAGGACACCATGGGAATGGAGCTTCATAATCAACCTCCTTAAACCCAACTTTATCCCTAATTACATTAAATGTAAATGGGCAAAAGCACCTCAATGAAAAGACAAAGACTATCAAACTGGAGTGAAATAACAAGTCCTAACTATATGCTGTTTATAAGAGACATACTTATAAGGATACACATAGGTTCAAAGTAAAAGGATGGAAAAATATTTACCATGCAGACAGTGATCATAAAAAGGCTGACAAAGTGAAAAAAAATCTGACAAAGTGAAAAAAATCTGACAAAGTGGACTTTAGGAAAATTATTAATGGAGATAAAGATCTATTAATGATAAAGGGCTCAATTTAACAGGAGAATTTAATAATCTGAAATATGCATTCACCTAACAGTAGAGCTTCAAAACATTTAAAATAAAAGTTGAACTGGAAGGAGAAATGGATAAATCCATAATCACAGAGAGAGCTTTTTAACACTCTTCTCTCAGTTATTAAGAGAACAAGATGATAGAAAACCAACAAAGATAGAGAAGATTTGAACAGCACTATCAATAAACTTGACCTCATTAGACAATTCTAAAATCACTCTACCCAACAACTGCAGAACAGAACTGGATTGATTTCCTGTTCCTGCCTCACCTTAACTCCTCCTGATCCTTAGCCCTTACCTTCTTCCTCTCCAGTCGCTCCTGCTCAATCTGCAGCATGATCTGTTCTCTTTCTAGACGCATCTGTTTAGCTGCCTCCTGAGCCTTTGCTTCTGCTGCTTCCTTCTGACAGAAATAGGTAAACCTTCTGAGAAAATACTGTAGTGGGATTCCTTGGGATATGCATATGTTCTTCTACCTTATCATCTATATCAGAGTAGATGTTGTTCCAATATTCAGTGTGGATTTACACAGCCTGCTCTATGATATAATAGACACGGCTGGGCTTCACTCATATACCCTGGGTCCACCATGCAAATTACCTGCAGAAGTTCCTATACTGCCTGTCAAGGTCTTTCTGTGTCTGAGGGCAGTCTCTGGCCATGTGCACATGGCCAGGAGTTTCAGAAAGTTAATTCCCCAAGGAATGACCTTCAATCATGAGAGACAGAAGTTGGCAGATAAATAATCCAGTTTCCTCACCCCTCAGAGAGACAATTCTAAGGCATATTCCACAGTTTCTCAGAGAGTCCCAAAGGGACTAACTCCCAGTGGTCCACAGTAAGCCACTCGTCGGTGCACTTGTACTGGCTTTCCTCTCACTCTCCTATCAGCTTCCTGGGATCTTCTCCCAAATAAACTACTGGCACCCAAAATCTCATCCCAGGGTCTGCCATCTGGGGAATGTGAACTGACATAGAGCAAACATTACAAACTTCGCTTTTATTGCCCAAAGTAACTCATATTCAATAACCAGCCCAGTTAGTTTAAGAAAAAACTTCAAGTAAACATTACAAGTCATTCAAATTTAACTAATTTTACCATATATTAACTAAGGCTCTTAAGAAGAGTCCATATGAAGACTTATACTGTACCTGCTTTTCAATCATGGCTTTTTCTTGCTTTTCTTTTTCTTGTTTTTCCTTTTCTTGTTCTTCTTTTAACAACAGCTCCTCCTTGGCCTTCCTCTTGGCCTCCTCTTCTGCCTTTCTTTTTTCCTCCTCCTCCTGCCGTTTCTTTTCCTCTTTCTGCTTACGAGCTTCCTCTTCTAGGTGAAGTCTTTCCTCCTCTGCCTTTTTTTTCAATTCCTCTCTCTCCAGCCTTTTGAGGACATAACTGTCGTTAGTAGATAATGACATGCTCAAAAGGCAAACTGCCAAAGAACTGTGTGCTGACAGGAGAGCGTTATGTATGACACACAGACATGTGCACTTGAATTAGTGTGTATTTGAATTAGTATTCACTCAAAAAACTGACTCATCTTTCCCGGAAAGCCACTTCAGCTCATACATTAAAAAACTTAACCAGGGTTGACTTTAAATTCTGTTATACAAAGAGTAACAATGTATTGATTTGAAACATACCATAATGAAGACATAAATGTTCCCCAGTAAATGCACAAATGACCACAGCCCCACCATTCTTACGTAATGACAATTCTTTGAAAACCTATGTGAAATTAATATTTAAGCCTAACTGCAGCTGGAAAAAAACTAGAAACTTCACAATGGCTACAACTGTGCCAGTTGGGAATTTAAAGAGCAGTGACTGTGTGCTCAAAAAGTTTACTTTGGGCTTTAATTGTTGTGTGACTTCTGAAGCAGCAAGTGGAAGAAAGTGTTCAACAGAACCCTTATATTTAGTATAGTCATTAAAATATCTATTTCTCATTTGTTTTAGCAGTATTTAAAAATCTCTTTTAGCTTTTATTCTTTGCTGTATGAAAATTAAAGGACATTACACATTTTTCATCCACAGATGAACAGCTGATGATGTAATGCTAAAGAACTCCAAGCAGTGAGGGAAAACCCTATAAAGTCTAAGCAGTTGTTTTTACATTTCCTGCTCACAGGTGCGTCACTTTCCTCATCTATGAAAAAGTGTAAGTAATAATACTCGTCTTGCAGTGTGTTACTCAATGACACTGTGAGATATGGGTAAGATCACGACTGCACCTGACTGTACCACTCATTGTGTGACTCTCAACATTTCTGATGCCCATTTAAAAAAATGGGAATGGCTATACTACAGGGTCCATGACATCACTGTGAGAACTAAATGAGATAGTGTAAGGGAAGCACTTAGCACAATGACTGGCCCTAAGAAGATTCTCAGATGCTTGCACTTGTAAGCACATCTATAAATCTGTATGTTTTTCAGAAGTCACCTTTACACAAAAGCAGGTATCACTAACTTACTGGGGTGCTATTACATTTTTATAAAAAGAACAGGACTTAGAAAAATACTTCTATCCTGCAGGAACTGTGAAGGCAATTAGCCTATATGTCACCAAAGAAATGTTTAAATTTTTTAACGTTTATTTAGTTTTGAGACAGAGAGTGAGGATGAACGGGGGAGAGGCAGAGAGAGGGAGACAAAGGATCCAAAACAGGCTCTGCACTGTGATCACAGAACCCAATGCAGGGCTAGAACTCAGGAACTTTGAGATCATGACCTGAGCCAAAATCAAGAGTCAGTTGCTTAACTGACTGAGCCACCCAGGTGCACCCCCCCCCCCGCAAAGAAACATTTTAAAATGTAAAGACATACTTACAGACATTAGTCCACAACTATAATAGTATGTAACATATTCTATGTTTGCAAAGACTGCGATGCCTAAAAGCACTGCTGGAACAACTGAAATCATTAACAAATATTCTGGGGAACTCTGGACAAGAGCATTATGGGGCCTAATCAGAAAGAAACTCCAGTTCTTATATTCCTCAATGAAAGACTAAGTATGTCTAACACAAGATTATCGAAATGGATGTGTCAAAAACAAAGTTTATCCAAAGATAAAACAGGACACTGTTTTAGTTCTTAACACTCACTTGACGAGATGGTTTTGACTGTCCCCAAGAAGCTAATACACAAAGGATGCACTGTGTATGAATTAATGCACAAGCTACTTCATCTTTATCTTCGGGATCTGAAGAGCCATTCGGTTTCTTCCGTTTCACCCTGAGGACTTCAGAGGTGCCCAGTGCACATACACACACAGTAAGTAACACATCCTCTTGGCCCCGAAGTCTCCATCACCCTTTTCATCGTGCACAACACATTCCTCCTCCCCACAGGCCCATTAGCCCCTGCTTGTTCCTCCTGTTCCAGACAAAATACCCTTCAACCAAACTCTGCTTCCCCCAAAGTAGGTTAAAACTAGCCTCCTGTGTGAAACTGAGTCCCTCAATATCGTTTCCAAGGATGAATATTCTTTCTCTACCTGCTGAAGAAACCAGAAAGCATGGATTTGGTCATTTCTCTACATTCCCACTGCTGCAGGCTGCCCCACCCCCTTGCCCTTGCCATGTTTACCAAGTTCCCTCTGGAGTTCACAAGACCCGTATGCAGTTTTGCCACCCCTATGTTGTTATTCCTATCACCTGCTCCAAACCCATCCCCCCTTCCTTGCCAGGGAGATAGTACCAAAAACCTACGCATCATGGTCATCATTCAACATTTAGCAGATGCATCCTTTATCCCGGCCATTGGCCGCTGGTGAGGGTTTCACACCACATCCCTGACACATGCTCAGCCTTAAACTACTCAATCTGTGGACAAGGATGTGGGCTTCACTATTCTCTTCCTTGTGTGCTTGAAAGTTTTCATTAAAAAAAAAAAAAAAAAAACAAAAAACCTTCATCATCCACATCTTGAACTCCCCCTTCCTTAATCTGCCCTCACCCTGTCCTTCAGCACCTTCTCTCCTGACCCGTCCCACGGAGCGCTGTGTGGTCACTTGCATCTGTTGCCTCTTCTCTCTCAGTGCCCCCAGGGCCTCCAACCTCCTCCCGAGCATCGTGGGGCTGGCATGGAGGCCACACTGCTGCCCAATTCCCAACCTGGGTGGCCTCCACCACCACCTGCACCCCTCCTAGGCTGCCAGTATTCGTAAGAGTAAGGCCCACACAAGGCTGACTGGTCAGCTAGTCCTGGCCTCAGCTGCCACTCCAGCCTTTTATCCTCATTTCTCGGAGCCTCATGGAAACAGTCCAAACCTCTACCTTTTCTCAGTCTTCAACATCCTCCTTAGTTGATGGCATCACCAACCACTTTTCAGACAAGACGGGGGCCACCTGCTCTGGGGTTCCTGGTCTTCTCTCCTCTGTGGCACTACTGCTCAGAAAATTTCCCCTTTCTTCCTCTGCTTAGATGTGAAAGACTGTAAATGCCACCACTTGTGCTATGAATCCCCCGGCCTCCCGCACCTGTGTTCCTCCTCCCACTATCCCCTCTCTTCCTTTCTTCAGCTCCCCCTCAAACACGTGCTTTTCCATGGCCGGCAAACACTCAGGTCTCAGGCATCCCAAACAACTCTCCTCAGCCCCCTCCACCTTCTGCCCACGCCTCCTAACATGCCACTGATGTTCAGGGCCTCTGCCCTCTCACCTCCAAGCCGGCTCAGGTCTCTGCCCTTCTCCACAGTTTCCTTCCAAAACCTCAGCTCGTCTTCTAACCCTGAGACCAAGAGCCTTTCCTCAGTCTTAACATATCTTGCAGCTACAGACAGCATTAAATGTCCCTCCTGCGAGGACTTTGCCACAGCCCTGCATGTGTGAGGCTGCGTCGCCCCAGCTCTCCCTTTCTGCTCGACTGCTGGAGTATCCCATCACCACTGTGCTCCAGCCCCAGGCTGTCTGGTACTTTCCTTTCTCGCTATCCACATGGTGCTATGCAAAGCTTCCTATTTTGGCAAAAGAGAAGAAAACTGGTTTGGTGTCAAGTGTACTGCTCTCATTTTTACCTACGCCCCAGGCATTGACTCCATTTCTCATCATGTGGATATTTCACAGGCACTTTAAACTTGATTTATATAAAATCAAATGGATAGGGGCACTTGGGTGGCTTAGTTGGTTAAGCGTCTGACTCGTGATTTTGACTCAGGTCATGATCTCACAGTTCGTGAGATGGAGCCCCGAGTCAGGCGCTGTGCTCACAGCACGGAGCCTGCTTGGGATTCTCTCTCTCCCTCACTCTCATGTGCATAGGTTCACTCTCTCTCTCTCAAAATAAATAAGTAAACTGGGGCGGCTGGGTGGCTTAGTCGGTTAAGCATCCGACTTTCGCTTAGGTCATGATCTCGCGGTCCATGGGTTCGAGCCCCGCGTCGGGCCCTGTGCTGACTGCCAGCTCAGAGCCTGGAGCCTGTTTCAGTCTGTGACTCCCTCTCTCTCTGACCCTCCCCTGCGCACGCTGTCTCTCTCTCTCTCTCTCCTAGAAATAAATAAATTAATTAAAAACATTAAAAAAAATAAATACGTAAACAAAAAAACCCCCAAAAAGATAGTTGTCCTCTAAAACCAATTCCTTCTGTCCTTCATTTATCTCTTATTGGGTGTCCCATTCTCCTAAGTCTTTAGAATCAAACCCTAGCATCGACTTTGAATCAGCCTGTTTCTGTTGATTTGTGAAAGTCTGCAGACTACAGCTGGACCACGTCTTAGATTCACACGCACTGTTCCAGGTCTATCTTCAACATACTGCATTAGCCCTTGCCTTCTCTTAAGCTGTGCCTGCAGTGGCTGCTTAGGTGGGCCTCTTTCCCCTTGTCTGCTTTTCTCATACATCTACTGAGTGGCAGTACCAGTGAAGACTGCACCCCAGTCTTTTAAACGTGCACATTAGGGGGAAGCAGGCCTATGAACAGAGAAGGCAATGTCAGTCAGCTGAACAGCTGGGCTCAGGAAGGGGAAAGAGCAGGTGAGTTCAGTTCTCTCCCAGGTGCAGGCCAGAAAGGCTCCAGAGAGGGAGCAAGGCTTGACCTAGGTCTGGACAAAGGAAGATGTGTCCGGTGAGAAGCAGCAGGGGTCCATGTGGGGCAGAGTAAAAGCAGAGATGTGGAGGTGTGGCACCACGTGATCAGGGCATGACAGCGAGCTCTGCAGGCTGGTACCCAGGGACAGGTGGTGGCAGGTCACAGCCCTGAAGGCCTCCTGATGGGTTTAGATGGCTTATGTAGGCAGAGAATTCCTAGTTTATTAAAGGATGGGAGCAGGACAATGACACTTATTTGAAAGTCACTGGGGACCCAGTGTAGACAGTGGACAAAGTCCCGCACTGAGTAGAGAGGCCAGCTAGGATGCCACAGACATAGTCCATATGAGAGCTTGTTTGGAGGTTCTAGCAGGGGAGCGCAGCTACTCATATACCCTTGACTGAGGAACGGTCCTCCTCTAGCGGGGAAGGTCGTCCTCTTCGACCGAGTGCGCAGCTTCGGGAGGGACGCACATGGAGCGGTGAGGGAGGAAGGGGACACCCGCCTAGCCAGCCAGATCAGCCGAATCAACCCTGGCGATCAATGGGGTGACAGATGTCGCAGCCAGATAGCCCTCACATCCAGACACAGTCCATATGAGAGACAACAGGGGCCAGAGCTCAGAGGAGAGGAATGGCTGGAGGGAAAGAGAGGAGAGAGACGCCAAAGAGGCAGCCCAGACAGACCTGACAAGTGGCCTTTTGACAAGGTCAGACCTGACATTTGAAAACAAGGAGGAAGGGGAGGGAGCAGTTGAGAGCTGACGCTGAGACTTCTGATTTGGGTGCCTGGAGAAATGGGAGCACAGAGCTTGTGAAAGGAAAAGGAACTATGGGGAAAAGATCATAAGGTCTATTCTGCACATGCTGAATTTGAGATGCATATGGGACATACTCAAATGAAAGTATAAAGCAGTTGGGATATGGTCTCTAGGTTCTAGGCCACTGCTATCCAAGAGAACTTTCTGTGATGAAGGAAACGTTCTAGAGATTTGTGCTATCCAGTACGGTAGCTAGCAGCCGTGTAGCTATTGAGCACTTGAAATCTGGCTACTACACCCAAAGAGCTGAATTTTATTTCATTTTAGTGAATTTACATTTTGGTAGCCACATGGGACTAGAGGCTATCATAGTGGACAGTACAACCCTAGCAGGAGACTGGGCCGTAGGCATGGATTCAGAGGTCACCAGTGTTTATGCGTTAATTTAGAGCCTCTCTTGTACCAGGAAGGACTGAGGTTTACAAAACAAGAGGAAACTAGCTTCAGAAACAGATGGTAAATGAGGCAAAGGGAAAATGAGGATAGAAGGGGAGATAAGGACAGGGTTGGTTTAGCACACCAAACGCTCACCATGAAACTGTTGTGTCAAATGTGAACTGAGGAGAATGGCTGAAAAGGCAGGAGGACCACTGCTCAGGGAGGGCTTGTCAGGTGAAGCCGGCCAAGGACTGAGGGCTGGGAGCCCCGGCGACATGTGAGGGGATGAGGGGCAGACAGAGGAGAAGGAGAGGCCAAAGAAGCATGGGCAAGCTTGACAAGGTCAAAGTCAACAAAGAAATGGATTAGGAGTCTGGCAATTAGGAGGAATGGGGAGTATGAGGTCTGAACAGGAGTTGAGGAAATACAGAAAGGAAGTACGATCAGTTCTTTCAGGAGCTGGGCTGTGCAGGAAATGTGAGAGAGAAAGAGAGGGTGATCGTTGGTAAAGAACTTCATCTTCCTAAGCATATAGCCACAAATATGTTACTTACCTGCTCAGAACTTGCAATCACCAAGGCCTGTCATTTGAGGTCCTGAGATTCATCTTTACCCCCTGTGACCTCCCTTTACACATCTTATGGTCCACTTAAACTAGCCCAAACACACCACTTAACAAAAAGATCTGTCACTGTTGACCACAAGGGTGGAGGCAGAAAAATCATCAGAGAAGCATAGAATTTGAAGAAGAGACAAGTAAGACCTATCCCTCACCCTTAAAAAAATCAGCAAACCTGTAATTATAAAGACCACAAAAGATTTTCCAAGGTCACTTAAGGATCAAGGCTCTATTATTTATCACTCTGAATTCAGTACCAGTGTTGAAGTGCTGCAGCATGGCTTGCTTCCTGTCAACTTAATTCTCTAAACCATACCGCACTGTACTGTGATTATCCTGAAAGCTTCCTTATCAATTTAATGATAAAATCTACCTTGTCCTCCAACAACATGCATTCTTCTCTGAACACAAAGATCAGAAAATCCAGAACTGTCTGTACTTTGACCAAGTGCCCTGGTACTAACAACACAGTGGTTCTCACACTTTGGTGAGCTATTGAAACAGGACGGGGCCTAGGCCTGTGTGTTTTCACTGCCTTCCCTGAATGGTTTTGACATCCCCCCCAAATTTAGGGACCACTGCCATGATGTCTTCTGTCATGCTCCAGGACTGGAGTCCCTGTACTTCTTGGTTTGTGGATAATGATGTCACTTTCCACCCCATCTAGGGGCCTCTGCTCCAACCCTCCTCCTTCTCTCCTGGGGGTGAAAGTTAGGATGATTTAAGGAAACAAACATGATTTGGGCAGCAAAATCAAGATCTCTATATCTGGAACCTCCTGTCTTCAAGGAGAACCACATTTCATGAACAAAGCTCAAACTCCCTTGATGTTCTCTGAGGTCTGGCTGGTTCTAGAGTCTAAGAGGAGAATGGGAAGCCTCTGGTAACATTTCAATCTGGGAATGAGGAGTTTCCAGGTAGTCTTAAAAGAGCAAAGTTCCATTACTGTTAATTACATCTAGTAGAGGCAGCGGTCTCCTGAACACCTGCCATGCAGACCTACTTTCTGCTGATCTTTCGTCAATACCCCAACTCTAGAAACAAAGGTGAGTTGCTCTACCACAGCCTTTTTTTTTTTTTTTAATTTGAGAGAGAGGAAGAGAGCATGAGAGAGTGTGTGAGCATGAGCAGAGAAGAGGGACAGAGGAAGAGAGAGAGAATCCCAAGCAGGCTCCATGCTCACCATTGACACAGGGCTCGATCCCATGACCCTGGGATCATGACCCGAGCTGAAGTCAAAAGTAGGACGCTCAAGCAGCTGAGCCATCCAGGTGCTCTTCTACCCACAGCCTTTTACAAGAGATGGCTATGAGGCTCTGAGCAGCCCTGTACCTGTCCTGTTCTTCCTTCTCCAGCCGTTCCTGCTCCTCCTGCTCCTTCTGCAACCGGGCCTGTCGTCTCTTTTCAGCCAGGATCTTCGCAGCCTCTCCTGCATCAGTGGTGCCTGCCGTGGGCTTCCCTGATGCTGCAACAGAGGAAAAGATCATGGGAAATGAGACAGTGATGGCACTAACATGAGTAAAATGCCAGTTGGAAACAAAAAATCCAACTCACTGGGTCATGGGAAATGCTGCCGGGACAAGCACAGTTAGCCACCAACAAGCTGCAATGGGCTGTCTATGACCGTGAATGCATCTCCCAGTGGAGGGTAGTGGAAAGGTGAGGAGGAGGGACTTGGTGGCTAGCACAACCCACAGGAGCCAGCACCGCAGTGCACCTCTGGGTGAACCTACTGCAGCTAGCGTAGAAGCTCAGAGGACTGAAGGGAGACCTTCTCTGTGGAGAGTGCTGATGCTGGCTGGATGCAGCTCTACACCCCCATGAGCTTCCAAAGCCATGACCGGTGTCAGTCCCTCTTCCAGGGGACCCATAGGAGACCAAGGGCAAGGACTCAAGGGCAACGTGCAAGCCAGAGTAAATAGCACAAGGGCATGAAGTTGTCCCAGAGAAACATTTCCTTCCCTCCCTCCTTGCCCCAAACATGAGACTCCCATATGGATCCGGGCAGAGAGAGAACCAGCTTGGAAAAGCCAAGCCAGGGGCAGCACCAACAAGAAAGGCCTACCTCCACTGCCCTCGACCTTCCCTCCTGAGGCCAAATGCTTCTCTGTGACATGCTTGTCCACCACGTGCTTCTCTGGGGCGTCCTCTCCATGCAGGCCAGCTGCCTGCTGAGCCAGGGCACCCTCCCTTTCCTTATTGCTCTTCTCTTTCTCTGCTTTCCTCTTGGGTGTTTCCTGGCTGGGAAAGTTGGGAGAGCGGTACTTCACAGGCGACCCTGGGTATGGTGGCTTCATATTCTTTGGAGACTGTGGATATGCTTTCGAAGTTGTCCTGGAAAACCAAAAACACACCAGAAGATGACTACTGGGCCTGACGAGAGAACCCTCTCTCTGTTCCTAAGACAAATGGTTCCAAAATACTAAACCATTTCATCTTCAAGAAGAGCAAATGGAAGGCTTAGCACACCCTCAAAAAAGTCCTCAGAGTATATTCACACTGTAACAGGAACATATGGAATCTATAGGGTATCCCTGGTGGAAGGGACATGATTTTAGGAAGCCCAGCTGATAATGCCATGTTGTGACCTCATTTAAGTCTGGCTGACAATGTAAGGACAAAGTGTTAGGCACTGTCCTACCTCTTTTCAGTTGAATACCAGGGTTGGATCTGGCTTCAGCATATGGCAATGGATGAGATGGCTCTTTTTTTTTTTTTTTTTTTAATTGTAGCAAAATACAAACAAATAACAAAATTTACCATCTTGGCCATTTTTAAGTGTACAGCTCAGTGGCATTAAATACATTCACAATGTAGTGCAACTATCACCGCCAGCCCTCCCCAGAACCGCATACCCATTAAACACTAACTCCTTCTGCCTGCCTCGCTCAGCCCCTAGCAACCACCCTTCTGTTTTCTGTCTGTAGGACTGTGACTATTCCAGATTCCTCACAGAAGTGAGATGATACAGTATATGTATCCTTTTGTGTCTGGCTTATTTCACTCAACACAATGTCTTCAAGGTCCCCAGTTTCTTCATATAAAAATAATTCACCTTTACTGAAATATGATCGATATCCAGTTCCTCTTTACATGCTGAGGAACAAACTCAGCCAAAAGGTGGGAAGAGGAGGTGTCTTTTTTTGTTATTGAGGTTCTTAAGGTTTACAAGAAACTCTCCTGCTTTCGGAAAGATGTGAAAGCTGAGGACAAGCCTATTGCCACTCAGGGAAATACCGCTTCATTAAAATGCAGGTGTCTATCTTACATCTGTTAAAAGAAGGCCCATTATAAGCGCACTGGTCTAGACGTGGCTCCTAGCGAGCACTGAGTGTTGAGGAGCTAGATAACAGCTGAGTTTCAGAAGCTGAGTTTACCCAGAAGTTTGCACAGGGAGGTAGCATTTGCAGAGTTCCTTTAGGAAGAACATACATTAATCTGTATATAAGTTATAAATTGTCATTCTCGATCCTGTAGCAGATTGAGCCATATGAAACTGCCAATATTCAACTGTTTTTGATCTATAAAAACAGTAAGAAAAACAGCAATTCAACATAATATTAAAGACCCATTTATCACCACAGGCTTAAAGACTTACTTAATCAGATCCTGGTGGTAAGGAAAAACTATGATTAAATCAGCACTGTACTTGGACTTGAGCTGGAAAACAATCCTCAAGTGGTAGGTGGATTAGGAAAGATACAGGCCAGTTTTCCAATGATGCTCTCATGCTAAAAGGGCAGCTCTGAGTGCCCAGGAAAACATCTTCTCTTAGTAAAAGTCAGACTGAGGGCTACACAATGGTGTGATCACCCAACCCGATGAATACAACTTGAACCTGACTTGAAATTTTTTTTTAATATTTTTATTTATTTCTAGGAGAGAGAGAGACAGCGTGAGCAGGGGAGGGTCAGAGAGAGAGGGAGACACAGACTCCGAAACAGGCTCCAGGCTCCGAGCTGGCAGTCAGCACAGAGCCCGACGCGGGGCTCGAACCCACGAACTGCGAGATCATGACCCAAGCGAAAGTCGGACGCTTAACCGACTAAGCCACTCAGGCGCCCCCCCGACTTGAAATTTTTCATTTAAATTCAAGTTAGTTAAAATACAGTGTAGTATTGGTTTCAGGAGTAGAACCCAGCGATTCATCACTTACATATGATACCCAGTGCTCATCCCAAGTGCCCTCCTTAATGCCCATCACCCATTTAGCCCATTCCCCCACCCACCTTTCTCCAGCAACCCTCAGTTTGTACTCTGTATTTAAGAGTCTTTTATGGTTTGCATCCCTCTCTTTTTATCTTATTTTATTTTTCCTTCCCTTCACCTATGTTCATCTGTTTTGTTTCTTAAATTCCACATATAAGTGAAATCTTATGATATTTGTCTTTGACTGACTTATTTTGCTTAGCATAATACATTCTAGTTCTGTCCCCATTGTTTCAAACTGCAAGATTTCATTGTTTCAGCATCTACCATTTTACTAATGGTAAATGGATGCTGCTAAACATCCCTGGCCTCACCTACCAGATGCCAATAGCACTTGTCACTCCCAACCCCAGGTTGTGACAACCAAAAATGTCTCCAGACATTGTCAAGTGTCCCCTCAGGGACAAGATCACTCCCAGGTGAGAACCACCTAAGTGACACATACATACAGCTACCTCCCCACGTACATGCTTTTCATATAAAGCAGACAAAAGTAGAGCTACTCTGATTGGAGAGCAGTGTCCTAATCCCCAGAGTCACCCTGAGGCACACCTATGGGTGTCCTGAATGCCTTAGCCTGAGAGGTAATTTTTAGTGGCTTCTGTGTTCTGACAGAGAGTCACAGCTGGATCCCTCACAGCTGGTGAGACTAAGCAAAGGGGCTGTGCACATGCAGCCTAGTCCAACCACGTTCTCTATGGGACCTGCCTTCAGCAAGCACACACTCTGAGCTTCTCTGAGCAGTGCCTGAAGAGGTAGGCTCTGCTCAAGGGGGCCTGCAGTGTGCTGGTGTCTCTGCCCATGAATGAGGAGATGGAGGAGAAACTCTCCTACAGACACGACTCCCACCATAAGGCTCCTCAGGGATGGAATGGGGGGGAAGGAGTAAGAAGCTTGAATTGGGTGCAGGCCCAATCCATTCTACAGTCCCCTTAGCAACCAGAAAACCTGCATCTGGATCCCAACACACCCCTGGGTCTGGTTTGAAGGGCTCCCTATCAGAAGGGAATGGAATGTGACAATGGAGTCACACCCTCAATCAGTGTGCCTGGAACCTGTAGATGGAAATGCATGGCAGGATTACAATCCCAGGGAGAAAAGGCCAGACTGGCCTGGATGGGAGAGGTTCTGACAGCCTCATGTCAGCTCAGCCCTGAGCAGCCTTGCTTCAACAGAAAAGTCACACATAGGTTCTATTCACACCACAGACTGTGAGGTTCTATTCTAAATAAAACTGGGCCAATTATCTAGGAGCACACATCCAAAAGTAATTTCTACCTGAGAAGTAACGGTGAATTTATTTGGGATAAAACTCAATGTATAAAGTCTGTTTACTTCCCCTATTCCAGACCCTTCCTGATAGCATAAATCAGAATACACAAACACACACACACATGTATGCACATAAAATATAACCTTCAAGTTAGAGAAGTGCAGCATCATAGATTTTTTTTTAACAGCAAGTGACCAAAATACAGAATACAATCTTAAAAATTCCCCATTTATCCCCATGTATGTAGCTTCCTGCTCATCTTATCTTGCTACTTACTACATGGATTTATCACCCTGTCAGGTACCTGGCAAGATATGCTGAGCACAGACCTTCTGAACCAGGTGACATTGGTCTGGCAGGCTTTAAGGCTCTCTGGCCAGTTCTGCTCACACTACTGCAAGCCAAATGAAGTTTGGCAAAAATTCCGCCCCCCCAATTTCCTAGAAATAGGTATCTTTGGCTGTTCAAAGAAATTAAATATGAATTAATCAAGGGAACTCCTGGCACTCTCTCAGAGAAGTAATTCCTCATCTACTCAAAAAGTATTTGTTGGACTGCCACAATGATCCAGTGAGGTAGGTGGGAAATTACTATTAATCATATTTGAGATAAGAAAACCAAAGTCTCCTAAGTATTTAAAGGACCCCTCCCAAGAGAGGTTAACAGATGAGACAGCCAGGGCTGGCACCCAAGTCATTTGATTCTTCATCTTGCTTTTTTATAGGCTTTCCATTTTAATTTTTTTTAACCTTTTATTTATTTTTGAGACAGAAAGAGACAGAGGGCGCTCGGTGGTGGGGGGCAGAGAGAGAGGGAGACACAGAATCCCAAGCAGGTTCCAGGCGCTGAGCTGTCAGCACAGAGCCCGATGTGGGGCTCAAAACCATGAACTGTGAGATCATGACCTGAGCCAAAGTCAGAGGCTTAACCAACTCAGTCACCCAGGTAGCCCATTCCATTTTAATTTTTAAAAGTTAAAAACCTCCAATGATTTAAGATCTAACAAAGGGGATTCACAAATTTTGCTGGGTTGGAAGAGGTAAGTCTTCCTGATGTACAAGGCAGGATTACACATCATTCTGAGGTTCCATGATTGGTGGGAAATATGAGCAAACCCCTGTGTAAGTAGAGCAGCAAGAACAAGGGTTGGGAGAGGGTTATCACACTTCTGAATGTGAGTTTCTGTAAAGCAGAACCCCAAAGGACTTTTTCCTCCACATCTTGGAATCTAGGTTGAGTTTCTTTAAAGCCAATTGACTCCAGGCACGGTGAACACAGCCCATCCACAGGATGGGAAGGGTCTGTGGCCTCCTCATCAGCAAAGGTTGGCCAACATTCTGAAAAGTCAATGTTTATGGTCAGAGTTTATTACTTTCTAGGGAGGAAAAGAGCAATTTTATATCTGAGAAATGTGTGGATACTCCCTTAACCCAGTGATCAAAGCTACCATCACTAGTAATGAAACAACCTGACATCATGGCCTCCTGATATGATGCACTGAGAAGGAACCAACATGCCTTCTGTGGGATTCTTGCCCCCAAAGCACAATCTGGGTCTAATCAGGAAAAACAGCAGACTGACCCAAACTGAAGGACACTCCTCAAAATATCTGGCCTGTACTCTTTAAAAATGTCATGGTCGGGGCGCCCGGATGGCTCAGTCGGTTGAGCATCCGACTTCGGCTCAGGTCATGATCTCACAGTTCGTGGGTTCGAGCCCCACGTCGGGCTCTTTGCTGACTGCCAGCTCAGAGCCTGGAGCCGGTTTCAGATTCTGTATCTCCCTCTCTCTCTGACCCTCCCTGCTCATGCTGTCTCTCTCTCTCTCTTTCTCTCAGAAATAAATAAAACAT